GGCGTGTGACGGGTATCTCTGATGGCGAGAAGTTCGTGTAATTGGTCATGGTGGATTATTTGGAGGTTAGTCGGACCACTTTGTCGACGCCGCCGCGGTGACTGGTTCCAGCAGACCTCAGCTGCTCGGCTAGTGGTGCATTGGAGGTGAATCCATTCGCCAATTACCCAGAAGCCCTATATCACGATCCGCAGTTTGGGAGTGATCCAGATGCCTAGGCAAGCAAATGGCAGCGCTGCTGAGGGAGGTTGGCTGACAGCCCTCCGCATTTGAACCCGAGGCAAGAGGTGGCATTGGTCACGTCACTTTTCCATGCCATGTCTGTCTGAGACGCCGCGCGCATAAGGGGTAAAGGGAGGGAGGGAGGGGTGGGCTCCAATGGGTGGTGGCAGCAGGATCTCGTCGCTGGGTATGTGGTTATGTCTCACCAAGTTTCTCCCATGTACCTATATCTGGTTGGATTCCATCTCACGCATCTCACCCGCAGCTCTTCCCGTTGCCATTTATTGCTGTGGCGAGCGCGAGGATCTGGGAGAAGCAATAAATAAATGCCATAGCACAGCGCACTGCCCTGCCGCTTCCCACAGGAGGGGCCGAGGAGCGCCTTAAGGCCTGAGCATGGATAATAATAGACACTTGGGGAACTCGGCTCCTCTCACCTCAATGTACGGTGAATTAAGGCTGATGCGCTGATGCCTCCTCCCCTCTGCCGGGACTCAGCTGCCCAGCCTTGCCCTGCCCTTATGCCTGCTCTGAGGAGCAAGCCTGTAGACCCAGGCGAGAGGAGCAAGTCCTCCCCCGGTAGCTGCTGGCCTGCCTGTTGTGACCTTCACCCGGCGCATAAGAACGTCGTGTCAAGTTAGCGTGGTCGTCGCTTTGCAGTCCCCTAGGCCGCTCGCTGGGCGCTTTCTCTTAGCGGCTAGCTCCCCGCCTGCCTGGACAAACCTCCCACGCTATTTATTCGAGAAAAACAGGCCCCGCCAATGCCCAGCAGGGAGTATGTACAACCGGGATACATCCAGTGTACCAGGGCTGGCCACAAACCCGCCTGCGCAAATGCCTGGAGCGAATCACCCTTCTAGGTACTCGCTTGAAGCAGGTACCTTGCCTTGGATGGCGCCGTACCAACTTTCCCACTTGCTGTGCATCTACCAATCAACCCCTGTACTGCTTTATCTAACCTACCTGCTGAGCTTCACCTCACCTCCTCTCCTCTGTTCGATCCAGCCTTCACTGAAGCCAGGTTCGACACTGAGTGCCAGAGTTCCTTAGACTTAGACCCTGACCGTCGCAAACAGCCCTCCCTCCTCCCTCCTCCGTGATCCGTCGATTGCATCGCCCGCTTCTTATCCACGGTCCCGCTTTCCCACGCGCATTAAATCGCCATCCTAAGAACTCCGTCCACAGTCGCTGTGACGCGCGGAATAATACTCCCCACCCGCCCCAAACACTTTGCTGTCAATCATCCGTCCCAGCTACTTCCATATAACAACCGTCTTCATTTCCTGCACCCATATTAAAGCTTCCACTTGGCAATAATAAGTTGCACAATCTATAGCGAAATGGCCCAGCCAGGTGTTCAATCTTTGAAGGTAAGCCGGCCTTAGCGCACTTCCCACCACGACATGGTATTGTTTTTGCTGACCGCCGTTGCAGTGTGTAGTGACCGGTGACGGTGCAGTTGGCAAGGTGTGCAGCCCACGATAACCAATTCCAAGTCGACACGCGGTACTGACTCCAGCAAGACATGTTTGCTCATTTCCTATACCACGAATGCCTTCCCAGGCGAATACATCCCCACAGTGTTGGTCGCATCCTCCTCCGACTGGTGAACGAACGCCAACCATTTTGCTGACACCTGCCATCCAAGTTTCGATAACTACTCCGCCAGTGTGATGGTTGATGGCAAGCCCATCAGCCTCGGACTCTGGGATACTGCCGGTCAGGAAGATTACGATCGACTACGGCCTCTGTCCTACCCTCAGACCGACGTCTTCCTCATCTGCTTCTCCATCGTGAGCCCGCCATCGTTTGACAACGTCAAGGCCAAGGTACGGAACGAACGCCTCGCGCCTGTTTGTTGCAGAGATTAATTTGGTCGTCTAGTGGCACCCTGAGATCGGCCACCATGCCCCCAACACCCCCATCATTCTTGTCGGTACCAAGCTCGATCTACGAGAAGATCCTGCCACCCTCGAGTCTCTCCGCCAGAAGCGAATGGAGCCTGTCACGTACGAGCAAGCCCTGAACTGCGCAAAGGAGATCAGGGCGTACAAGTACCTTGAATGCTCAGCCTTGACTCAGCGAAATCTGAAGAGCGTTTTTGACGAGGCCATCCGGTATGACCACTCACCAAATCAAAGCTGCCCTGGAAAGTACGGTTTTGCTAACTAGCGACACCGCAGCGCCGTTCTCAACCCCAAACCCACTGTGTCCAGCAAGAAGCGATCCAAGTGCTCCATCCTGTAAATCACGGCTGGCACCTAGATTTAAGATATAGAACAGCCGTCGTCCGAAACCACCAAAATGAGATAAGAGAGTCGAATTATCAGCGATTTCCGCATCAGCTTTCTGCCACGCTCCTGCAGCCATATATCGCACGAAATTTTTCAAGTTCGGACTCACCGAATATTTCCAATTATTAGACCACTGGCGGGTAATGGCGACACAGCTTTTAATTTTTGCAAGCACGAAACGACCGGCATGTTTGACGCTCGCCCCGCCCATAATGTTAACTCTGCCGCATATTCGACGAATTATATCCCTGTTGCCATTGTTGTCAACAACAACTCCGAGAACACCTTATGAAGATTACTCGACCAGGATGGATGGTGATTTTGCTTCAATGGTCCTAGATGGATTGGCTCGTCCTTCCCACTCGCTTATTTATCCCCCCCTCCCCATTTTTACCCCTCAAGATTTCTGGCAGTGCCTGAGATGGACTTGCTGGTTGGCGTCTGGCAAATGGTTTTCTATTTTGCATCTTCATTCTCACCTTTTTCTCCTGAATCACGCTATCCCGAGGATATCCCCAGTTTTTGGCTGTAAATAGATCATGGATACTAGCTATCTTAAATTTCGCTCCTGTCCCGGGTCAAACTGCATTAATTACGTGAAAAGGGTATTGTTTTTAGTTCTGGAAGGTTGGAATTGGTACGGTCGTGCTTGGGAAACTTTTGGAGAAATAGTCAATTTCAAATGTTCTGCCAAATGATGAACGCCCTTGTCCTCTATTCTAAAACAGTCTATTCCAAAACAGCAGTCGGGAAAACTCCAGTAGCGGCTTGTAGATTGTAGCACAGCGTATTATGTGGTGCCCGGAGGCAGGGCTGTTTACCATCCGTTACCAGGAACTCTGCCCCGGCGGCTTGGGTGGATTGCATCCTCCATATTATGGTCCCCTGACTGTCTGTTTTCCTCCTTGGCGACCTTCTCCTTCTCGATGCGCTTGCTCCGGTTCTCGTCGAGCTTCTCGTTCTTCTCGCGGATCTTGTCCTGTCGGTTCTTGTTCTTGCCGCCGCCGCCAGCGCTGTCATTTGTTAGTCGAGATTGTTCTTCCTTCCCTAAAGTGGAGAGAGTGGCGAGGGAAACGGGGGAGTCTACGTGAAGAAGAAGAAGAAGAAAGAAAGAAAGAAAGAAAAACTTACGTCAATTCAACGTTGATCCTCCTGGCGGGGGAAACGCCGTCCTCGAACATGGAGTGGTGGAACTTGTCCAGGCACGTCCTCATGTGCCAGACCTTGCCGAACTCGACGAACGCGATCCCGCGGCACGGCTTGTCGTCGTTCTTATTCTTCAGGCAGCGCACGGAGATAGGCGAGAGCGACGCGAAGTGCGCCGTGATAGTCGCGACCGTGGCGCTGAAGGGCAGGTTGCCCACGAAGACGATGTGCCGGTCCGCCTTCTTGTTCGCGTCGACCTCGATCCGGTTGGGGTTCTCGACGTCGGCGGGTTCCGCTGTCTCGTCGGCGGGCTGGCCGTTCGACTCGCCCTTCTTCTCCTTCTTGTCTTTCTTCTCCTTCTTCTCCTTCTTATCCTTTTTCTTCTTGTCCTTCTTGTCCTTCTTTTCCTTCACCTCCTCGGCCTGTTCGCCCGCCGTCGTCTCAGGCTTGACATCGGTCTCCGCCTGGAGCGCATCGTCCCCCTTCTCTTCGGGCTCCTCCTCGGGCAAGTCAATCAGGTCCTTGCGCTTCTCCTTGCGCTCCTTCCTGCTCTCCTGCTTGTGCTTCTTGTCCTTCTTGCTCTTCTTCCCTGCTAATGCGTCTTCGCTGCCGCGCTCGCCATCTCTCTTGCGTTTCTTAGTAGGGCCCTCGGGTAACTCTTCTCGAGCCGGAGCTTCTCCCTCGGTGGCCTCGCGCGCACGTTTGCTCTTCATTTTTGTACGGAATCCGAGGACGTGAGGTATGCAATGTCGGGGGAAATAATATTGACAGAAAGGAATGACAATTGGTCGAAATACCCGTCGTCTGGGATCTTGCGGCCTGCTTTTTTTTGGAAGCAATTTGTCCGCGTCTGAAAACTTGATCAAAACTTGCAAGAAAAAAAAAGTTGAGTGACCAACCCAGATAAAAAAAAAAAACAGGGTCCGTTGTTGCATCCACCTTCATGCGGGGGTGGGGCTTTTAAACCCGTAGTCCTCAACTTTCATCAACTCGCCTTGGACCTATGCCAACTCTTACTCAGGAGAACAAGTATGTTAAAAAGGAGCCTCCATAATTGGTTTGTAGGCGAATCGCTTCGGATACACTTAGAAAATTTTGATCTTTAGCCAGGCTCGTTGCTGCTCTTGGCTTCCCATGCTACCATTTACAAGTTGGGGCCGAGGAACGTTAGTATGTATAAGTGCATTCCATTGGTGGTCTTTCTAAGTTATTAAAGTAAGTGCCCTATCAAATAGATAATCCATCATAATGTAGTGATGCCATGCCTATACTCTCTCCCTTGCAACATTGTTAATTCCACTGATATAACATATCTTCACTTCTCTCATTCCGGCCAAACTAATTGAAGGCCCATAATAGAAACCCAAATGCAAACACCCCATAGTATGCAAATATGAAGGTGTTCGAAGCTAACCGTCTTCCTGCAGCACCGGTATATGTGGCCAAGGTCGTTGACGCCGTGTGGTTCTCTGATCGGAAGAAGCTTTGGGAAGGATTTGGGATACCTTCGTTCGTTTCTCTTGCCACTAGGCCTCTTTTATTGCCAACAGCGTAGCTCGGCGCACTGACAAGTTCTGGAGCAACCGAGCTGCCCGGGAAGAGATCCTTCGTCATCATCGCATCGAGTGTCTTGACCCCAGTTAGGCTATCACCTTGAATGATATGGCCAGGCAATGGGATGTGTAAGACGATGGTTTCTTGGTTGCCATTTGCGTTTGCAGGCGCGGCTGTGGGTGCATTTGCCGTCGGGCGGGGCCAAAGAGTGACCTCTGGCGCATTAGCAGGGGCGCCTGGGACGGTCAAACTCGCTGGGCCCGACTTTTTGAATGTGATATCTGTCTGAGGTGGGATATTGGGTCCAGAGTCCACGGCTGAACCAGGAACGGTTGGCGGAGCAGTGGGAAGTGGCCAAAGGGTAAAATCAGAAGCAGGTGTTCCAGCACCGCCATTGTTTGCTCCATTTCCAGGCCCAGGCTGACCAGAAGCAGCACTTTCATCATCACAAGGAAACTCTCCACTGTCTGGGGAATCAGGGGGATTTGGATCGGCTCCCTTGGTGCTTCCTGGACTTGAAGATGGCCCGGAGCTGCCTGAAGGAAGCGGCTGGCTGCCTTTGCTGGGAGATGGGGCAGCCCCGCCCGGTCCAACACCTCCATTGCTCGGAGAGTTTCTAGGCGGGCCAGCCTCTGGGTTTCCTGAAGGCGCAGGCATTTGAACAGTCACGATAATTTCTGGCGAGGCTCCGGCACCAGGTCCAGCCATTGGATCAGACCCAGGTCCAGGGAAGTTGCCACTGTTAGGACCTTTACCATTCCCAGTATTGGGGCAAGGGACACCTCCACCATTCGGATCAGGAGCAGGGCTAGATGCGGGAGGTTGCACAGGGGAGCCATTACTTGGGGATCCTGGTGAACCGGCGTCGTGGCAACCCTCCGGCCCCGGATTGGTAGGCCGAGTGGGCGACCCAGCAGGAGAGTTGGAACCGGAATTGCCCTGGTCACTAGCACAGCCGTTGTTGTTTCCAGGACTTGAAGGAGGTCCAGCAGGCGGTTGTCCACCTGTTGTTCCAGATCCAGGGTTGGACTTCGAGGGCCCTTGTGGAGAATTGGGAGATTGGCTATTCGGACTTGATGGCGCTTGGTTTGAAGAACTACTAGGGGTTCCATTGTTTGTGTTTGGGTTGGTAGGGGATGATGAATCTTGTCCTGGACCTGAGTTGCTTTGGCCCTGGGGACATGGGATCCCACCAATCCCGTCAGTGTTTTGTGACGAAGGCGGGGAGCCTTGTGGGTTTCGGCTCGGCTGAGCGCCCGATTGCCCGTCTGAAAATGGTGGTTGAGAAGACTGGTTTGAGTTCGAGGCGCCAGGTGCGCCAGGTGACGGTGAATGGGCATCACTACCCTGGCCGTTCTGAGGCTGTTGAGCACTTTGGTCTCCCGAGGATGTGTTGGGCCCTTTATTTGGTGATGGCGAGGAACTTCCAACAGGTTGAGAAGTGTCGGGGTAGTTCCCTGATCCATTGGATGAGGGTCGATTGCCATCAGTATTGCAATCATTCAGGTTGCCCGTACAAGTGGGATTTGAAGCATCACCGGGAGGACCATTTGAACTGCCACCATTACCAACAGGTGGATGACCCTGTGGTTGGCCACTCTGGGAACCTTGGTTAGGATTCTGAGTTTGGGGTCGGCCAATGGCACCAGGGCTTGACTGCGACGGATTCGAAGTAGGTCCGGGGAGTGAGAGTGTCAAGATTCTATCCATGCCAGCTTCACAGTTAAGAGGAACTGAAGGGTTTGTCGGAGAGCCAGGTTGGCCCTTTCCGCCGCCTCCAACTTCAGGTCCATACGAGCCAGGGCCCTGCACGATGGTGGTGGTGAATTGGCGAGCATATAGAGCTGGGCTCGCGAATTGGACAGGATGTAGTGGCGCGATAACTGCACCGTTGTCGAGGCAAGATGTAACCACTGAGGTCAAGGCATTGCTGTAGGAATCAGAAGTGCAGGAGAGTACCAGACACTGAAATAGAGACTAAAACAGGAGTGGTTGCATCAGTATGCGTTCATTCTGGATACGCCAAGAGCAGGAAACTAACATGTTGTTTGAGCTGATCTGAGCAGAGCGCTCTCCAGTCGACCGTGTCGGAACTGTTGAGGAGACGGTGGGAGCAGTCCAAAGCGCAAGCTTATTGTCTTAGCCAAGAACGAGATGCGGGTATTGGGGGACTTACCAGCATCAACCTTGGTCCCATGAGTGTGCCCTCCTGGAGCTAAGAGAAATGGTAACAACGTCTTGAAGATATTTACCCTCATTGTTTCTTCTGTGAAGTTCTATGACTTGGTACAAAGTAGGTTGGGATGATGTTTATCAAGGGAATGAACAACAATTGCAACTAGGCAGATGAGTGTAATGGAATGTGATCCAAAAAAGGTCTTGACAATGAAGTCCCAAAAAAAGAGCCTATGGCTGAGTTAAGGGTAGTGTGTTGATGCAATGGTGATTATGGGAAGATGGAAGAAGAGGAAAAACAGAAGAGTCTCGAAGGGGGGGGGTTTGGAATGGCTACTCGCGAAGCAGGCCAGGGTCAATGGGAAGGAGATATGTGTGTGTATTCCTTGCCCTTTGCGGGTATCTAATAAAATAGTAAAGAAAGTGGCTTCTCCTCGGCTGCGTATTTCTCCCTGAACTCCTTCCTCGCTAAGAAGCGAGCAAGTGGCATCATAGTATCCTTCATGTCCATAACGCCTCTCTTCTTTTGGTCAATATGCGATGCATCAACGACCAGGCGTTCCAAATTCTCCAATGAGAGCGCACCTTAAATACATATCAGTTGGCAGTTTTTAAGCAATGGAGTTGTCAGTTAATTTTATGCATACCATTCTCAATCAAATCCGCCAATCTCGCCGGCGTGCCAACAGCAATTCCCGTCTTCTTGCTCTTGAGTAGGGTAATTTGCTCCTCGATCTTCATGTGTTTCGCAAACTGAGATAGTGAAGAACGACCAGGTCAGCACGATTGCAAAGAAAGAGGGAGTGGCTCGGGAAACTTACCAGCTTGACGACTGCACTGTCCTTGGTTTGGAACTTACGCACGGCACTTTCCTTCTTGTCAGTAACGATCTTATCCGGCAGGTTGGGTCCTCCGCTGATGTGGACGGCGGAAGGCAGTAGGCGAGAATTCCTCGCCGACAAGGCCGCACTTACCGCACAATGTCAGCAGCCCTCAGACCAGCTCCTGCCACAATCAGAGTATGAGGCGATCCCTTCTTCTTAGGCGAGCGACTTAGACCTTCCTTGTCCTCTGAAAATTGCTCCAGAAAGCCTGGAAGGTTGGTCAGAATCCGCTGCTCCTGCCACGAACTGGTATCTGTGATGGATCCGGCTGGAGACTTTGTTAGCAATCCTCCCTCATGACGCACAAGGAGATCGTTCTTGAAAGTAGGTACCTGTGATTGAGATATCTGAGAGTTCGACGGGACTCAATTCTGTCCCAAACCGTGTCGTTTTCTGAGCGATGTGATCTGCCAGAAGCTGGCTGTCCATGCGCGAGAAGAGAGTGTTGATTCCCAACTCAGCATCTAACGACTCATTATTCTCAAAATTTCCCTTTCTCTTCTTCGCCTTCTTGGCCGGAGGGTTAGCGTCCGCCGCACGTTTTTTGGTGTTCGACATCTTAAAATACAGACTGCAGAGATGTCAAACAATCTCCGAGACGATGAAAGTAAAGTGAAATCGGCGGCCTGTAAAGAAAAAAATGTTTGTCCCTTCCGGTTAGCGCATTGCCTAATTTAGAAACCCGACGGCGCTGCTATTATTTCTAATCCCTGCAAACGGCCTCCAAGCGTAGGTATCAACCTGTGGTTCACATCGTACGAATGCTTCACGATAAATGTTGAAATGTAGATAAATTGGTATTCTATAGCAAATGTTTGTCTCATGGACGCAAATACCTGTGACGTAGTCCCGTTCTTACAGAAAAGCAGGGCATCTCAACATGAAGCCACTGAGATACATAGCAAATTGGCTCTTGAATAAACTCACGTGAAATATCTTGATTGGCGGCACGCCGTGCCCAACACATTGGATATCATAATAGAATAGATCCAAAATTAATAAGTTGGCAAACCTTCAAGTTATGAGATATTAGGTGCCTAAGCAACAGAGCGAAATGAACCCGGCAGGGTAAGGACATTCTCCAAAGCCATAATGTTCTCGTACGATACAACTCCCAAAACGCCGCTTGAAAATCAGACAAAGCCTTCAATCTAGCCAAGCCAGACAACTCTAAAAGATACCGTTCACAATCTTTCCACCAATTGTGGCACCAGCACCGAAGATAGCGGCGTTACCCAGCTTCTTACCAAACTTCTTGCCGTACTGCTGATACTTCTCCGACTTCTCATCCTGTTCCTGGCCATTGCCGTTGCTTCCATCGGCAACAGCCATGGGTGGCACGTTGGCGTTGTATGGGTTCTGCTGCGAAGGAGGGCCACCCTTCTGGGGATATCCGTAAGCGGGCTGCTGGGCGGGAGCCTTTTCCTCGTGTTCCACCAGCACGTAGTTGCGCGGGAAGATGCCCTCAAGGCCAGTGCGCTTGTTCTGGCCCATCCACCAATCGTCGTTCATGTATTCGTGCACAAGGATCTTGTCGTCCCGCTCCAGGGCGAGATCGCGGTCGTCGGGGCCGACGTAGCGGTATAGAGCCCGGGCATGGGCAACGACGGGCTTCGCGTTACGGACAGGCAGGCTGGGAGGAGGAGTATCTTCGTACGAGGGGGGCAGAGGCGTATGGTTTGCGGGCGGGCCGTTGTTCTGGGGAGTTGCGCGTGCGGAACTTGCGGTGTTGACGCTGTTCGAAGAAGTCGTGCGAAGAGGTCCGGAGAGAGGCGACTCCTGGGGAAGGGCGGAGTGGATGGTATCGTAGACGGATTCGTCAATGACTCCCTTCTCCAGAAGATTTTCGAGTTCCTGTAATCGTGAGCTGCTGGGTCATGAGATAGGGGCGATTGGAGTGTTCCATACGTTCTTGATGTTGCGGAGGGACTTGTTAGCCTCCATGATGGTCTGGCGGTCGGAAGAAGCCATCTTGGCGGATATTGTCGATATTAAATGCAGGTACTGGTAGGGCTCGTTGGATGTGAACAGTCGCAGATTAGAGGAGGATGCGCTGATGAACGAGGGACGTGGATTTGAAATTCGCCGTTAATGGAACCCGACTGTGAGGAGGCAATGCAGGGTGCAAGTCTGATGGCGGGGCGCAGCAAGTGTCGTCCCACTCTTGTGCATGACCCGCGACAAACAGTGGGACGGACGGCACTGCCGGCGACGATGTGGCATTAAGTACCCTCCATCGAGTCCACTGACCATTCAATCATCCTCTGCCGATATCGTATCGTGAAAGTTCTGGTTGGCTGTGCTATGAGGTTCGCAACTCCTTTTCCAATAGATTCCTCCGAGTAGAAATACAAATCCGAGGACCGTATTCTTGGTACCTTAATTGTAATTGTACTGCTTGGCAGGGTGGAGCGCCTTACGCGGCCTGACTAGGTCGTTTTCTTTGAGGGCATTCGACTTGGCTCTTGATAAATCATGGCGCGCATTGGTGAACGATGTCAAAGTATCAACATGATGCATTCCAATGGGAAGAAATTTCTTCAGTTCTATGCCAGATACCAAGGAGATAGCACCGATCCATTATGCCGAAAGAAACCCCTCTCCTCAGTAGGCCAAGCCAGGAGACAAATCATGGGCGAGGCCAATCATGTAGATCTTTCTGTGTCCTTCCCCTTAAACCGATGATCAACCAGCCTTGGGATCATATCCAAGGCCCTTTGCTCTTTCACTATCAGACGTTAAACGTCAATCAAGTGTCACTTTAGAAGCCAGTTGCCAGGATTATATCGTACCTGGAACCATCCTGGCCCTGTTGTTCTCGGGCCGTTGTCGGCTCCTCACACCACCAACGGAGCGGTGACTCGCTACGCAAACACCTTCACCATCCATAACAAAGAGAACCTTTCAGCATGCCAAAGCCAAATCTGCTGTTATGTTTCGACGCTTTCGGCACGTTATTCAAGCCCAGGGGCTCTGTTGCCCAGCAGTACGCTGAAATTGCCCGGCAATGCGGCATGGCCAGCATCACAGAGAAAGAGCTGCAGCCGCATCTAGGGACGGCTTTCAAGGCCGAGATGAAGCAAAACCCCAACTATGGAAAAGCCACCGGTCTAGGTGCAACCAAGTGGTGGACAAATGTATGCCTCCTCCCAATTCTCACCCACCAATCTGCCCATCTTAGTTGAAGTTGAGTTAATGTACATCGGTCCCCAGGTAATTGAAAATGCCTTCACGCCAATGATACCAAAAGGTCAGAACCTCCCCCGGGATCTTGCGCCAAGACTCCTCCATCGATTCTCCTCAAATGAAGGATACGAAGCTCAAGCGCACCTCACTGCCATGTTCAAGACTCTCCGCAACGACGATACCCGTCGGCTGTTCGAAAAGATCGTCATTGGCGTCATCACCAATTCAGATGACCGCGTGCCCAGCATACTCTCATCATTCAATGTCAAGGTCAGTCCCCTGCGTTACGGCACGGAGGTTGATCCAACTGGGCCTTCAAAGATGGACCTGGGGCCTCCCAATGATATTGATTTCCACTGCATCTCCTACGACGTTGGCGTTGAGAAGCCCGATCGCCTCATATTCAAAGCGGCGGAGCTCATGCTTGCGCAAATCATCACCACTCGAGAAAAAGCAAATCCCAGTGAGTTCCAATCCAAGGTTGATACCTGGAGGAAGATTTATGTTGGTGATGAGTTTGTCAAGGATGTAGTGGGGGCTCAAAACGCCGGATGGAACCCAGTGCTTCTCGATGTCGACCATGAATCAGATGAAAGGATTCCCAGACTGGAAGACAACGCGGCAGCGGGGATAGATGACCTTTTCAGGAAGCATCCAGTTGTTCGGGTGCATTCTCTAGGGCAATTAACCAATTGGCTTGGAGGCGTAGCAAGATAGAGAGATACCAGCCTCACAATTGTTTGGCCACGATGGTTGGGTGTGGTCTGAGGGCCTCTACATAAAAGATAAATGCTTTTGCCAAGAGTTTGGTCATATCTTTTCAATTTATTTTTATTTTCAAAAAATTGAATCTAAGGTCTAGGTATTCTGCGGTATCTTTGTTTTGACATTTTTACTGGACAAATTTGCTCTCCTTAACGGTGTAGAGATCAACATATTCATCAACGGAGATGCTCTCGAGCTTCTTGGCGTCCAATCCAAGCTCAACGAGCTCCTTCACTCTGGCCTCAGGCAGATGAGGGCCCAAGTGACGCTTATACTTCTCCAGGATGACGGGCTTGGCCTCCTCGCGGCGCAGGCGGTGGCCCAGAGGAGCCTCAACAGCAACCTCATCCAGGATTGTGCCGTCGTTGAGCTCAACAGTGAGAGCGTTGGAGATTGTGCGCAGGGCGGGGTCATGGTAGTCCTTGGTGTACTGGGGATCCTCGACGCACTTGATCTTCTGGCGCAGAGACTCGACGAGCTCTGATGTGGCAGCCTCGCCACCATCGGTGTAGTCGGTAGCTTCCAGGCGGCCGAAGACCAGCATGGTGGCGCACATGTACTGGATGCAGTGGTCACGGTCGGCAAAGTTGTCCATGGGCTTGAACTGCTTGTCGATGATGCGGATGCAAGCCTCGTGTGTTCGGCAGGTGATGGCCTTGATATCAGCGGCAGATTTACCCTGGCTCTTAAGCAAGTGGTGGATCTTCTCGGAGGCTTCAACGGCGGTTTGGGAGTGGAACTCGGCTAGTAAATGGTCAGTATGGAAAGAGCATATATGCAGTACAGTGCAGGGGCAGACTTACCAGGGTAGGACACCTTGAAGAGAACGTTCTCCATGACGTAGCTGCCGTAGGGGCGCTGGAACTCAAACTTCTTTCCCTTGAACAGGACATCGTAGAAACCCCAGGTGGGGGCAGACAGGACAGTTGGGACACCTTGCTCGCCCTTCAGGACCTTGAGGGCCAGGTTGACAGCACGCTGGCAAGCATCACCTGCGGCCCATGACTTTCGCGACATGGTGTTGGGAGAGTGACGGTATGTCCGCAAGCTCTGGCCGTCAACCCAGGCCTGGGTGACAGCATCGGCAATCTGCTTCTCGCCGAGTCCAAGCATCTTGGAGACAACAGCAGTGCTGGCAACCTTGACGAGGACGACGTGATCGAGACCAACACGGTTGTAGGAGTTGAGGAGGGCCAAGCAACCCTGAATCTCATGGGCCTTGATCATGGCCTCAAGCACATCCTTGATGTTGAAGATCTTGCCACCAGCGAGGTTACCGCCGGCCTTGTTGGTTCGGTTGACCCAGTCGGCGACGGCCAAGATAGCACCCAGGTTGTCTGAGGGGTGACCCCACTCAGCGGCAAGCCAGCAGTCATTGAAGTCGAGCCATCGGATCATGGCGCCAATGTTGAAAGCTGCGTTGACTGGGTCGAGCTGGAAAGGAGTTCCTGGGACCTTGGGTCCATTGGGAACGATGGTGCCGGGGACAATGGGCCCAAGAAGCTTAGAGCACTCCTTGAAGCGCAGTCCCTCGAGACCACAGCCCAGGGTATCCAAAAGAATCCATCGAGCGGTGTCGAACTAAACAATTGCAATTAGAAACGTTT